GGTAAGTTCCAAAAGTGCACATTACAATTCAGTTATAAACAATAGACTTAATAAGAAGAAATTATTGTATTATGTGTTCATAATTTATAATCAGTCGTTATTGCATTTAATCAATAATAATTGCTAATACAATATCACAATTTTGTATGAATATGAGCGTACATGCACACTTGTAAAGCAAGACTTATCCGTGCACTTTTTTATGTATATCTTGTATATAACTTGTATATTTTTTCTTTTAGAATTTCTTCTAATTTTCAGCCAAATGTTAATTTTATTAAAATTTTATAAAAATTTTAGTTGTATTAAAAATTATATGTGCTAAAAAGATAAGGAAATTGAAACTATTGGATACATAGAAATGCCTTATTACAATTTATGAATGTTTGTTGAAATAAACTCATAATTAAAAGAAAATAGAAAGTATAAAAATTTTAATTTTGTGCAACTCTCCCCTAGAGTTTATACTCTCGTAAAAGAGCTTCCATTTCATGAAAGTTTATAAATAAAATATATACTAAAATTAATTATTTGTAAATGTTTATTCATATAAATGTTTATGTTTAAGGACCTCTCCAATCTTTATCTTGATATATGTTATCAAGGTTATGACTCTGAATGACCTTCAACAAGTTTTAACTCGTTATTCATTAAAAAGTCATTAAAAAGTTATAAGAAGAAAAATTTTTAAAATAACGTCTTTTTTCTATTATATACAACAAAATTCTCTGCACATTACTTATATAAAATAGATTTTCTGCTTCAAAAACAAAAATTTTTTTTGAAAATGTCATTTTCTCATATAATTTTTGTTTTTATATAATAGCGCACGACTTTTCAAGATGTATAATTGAATAATTAAATGATGAAGTTCAATTTTAATTATGCTGTCTTGTCCTGATGGACAATGTAGTAGTGTTCTGCTGTTATTCTCAATAAGCGCATAGGAAACCAAAAGAGACGGTGCCGTCTTACACTCCTGCGCGCGCATCTGCACTTTCCACGCTCGCTTAATTAAAACGCTTAATTAAAACAAATCTGAAAAATAGGATAAGGGTGAGAGAGAAAGGTCCATCCAGATGAAACAACATAATTGAAATCAAACTTCACTGTAAGTTCGTTTAATTATTCAATTATGTAACTTCTCATCCAGATGGCTAATGATAGATATTTGTATAAGAATAAGATGAGAGCCCATTCGTCTGGGATATAACTAAATATTTTATTGCTGTCAATCATAAGCTGAGACTGACGCGCGCGCGCGCGCGCGTGTGTGTGTGTGTGCGTGTGTATGTGTGTGTCCTCGTCCGTCCAAAAAAAGGAAAATCAGATAAGATATTCATATTCTAATACATAAAAAACTCTGTCATCTGCGTTATTGTGAGGTATTTAGGATCGCAAAATGGAAAGCCAATCAACACTGAAAAGGACATACGATTCTCAAAGTTACCATCCGAGGACGCCAGAGTCAGGAACTTCTTCCTCTCCAAAAGTTTGATGCCATATTGGACAAATGGCTATTAGCGAATCGATAAATCTTACTAAGATTTGAATTTTGCAAGTAGTCCTGCTTAGTAGACTTAGAATCATTTGGAGGACACAGTTTCTCCTCTTGGGAAGAATCAAGATTGCGAAATGTTCTGTGTCGAATGTAAAGCCTAAAAATCGAGAGGTTCTCGCAGAGGTAAATACGCTTTTTTTCTTGTTAATGATAAAATCTAAGGATGTTAATAAATTCAACATGATAGAAACAATTCCTTATACATTGTTTAAATGTTGATAAGAAGGATCATCTAGTATACGAGAAAAGGTCCTTCTTTCTAAGGAAGTATTAAACCAGTTTTAGGATCTTTATAAATATAATAATATGGGGCTGACGCTGAAAGGCAATACTTTGAATTGAAAAAGCCTTGGAAAAGAAATCATAAGAATTTTCTATCCTCCGAGTGGATAGAGCTTAGGAAATAAGCATTCTCCAAATCAATAGAAGCTAGAAAATCATTTGAAGAGAGAAGATGAATGATTGTCTTCCAATTTTCCAGTTTGAAATGTGGAGCAATAATATATTAATTTAAGTTTTTAAGTTAAAAATAAATTTCCACTCTCTTGACAACTTTTTGATAACAAAAAATGGACACAAATTGGCCCTCACACTCTGCTACCCTCGCGAGCAGTCTTACGCAGGCAAGAAATCTCTTGAGAACAAATCTGCTCATCTAGCTTGGATAGATGAGTCCAAGATTTCTTAGGCTGAAGGGATTGTATGAATGGAAGCCTGTATTCCGCGATGATCTGTAGTATTGATTTCGATAAGAGTTCCTTCCATCAAGGCAAGAAAGCAGATAACCTGCTGGTTTTGCTTACCTCGATCTCCTCTACCTATCGTTACCTATTCTCAAACGAAATCTGTGACGATATGTTGAATGATTGTCGCTCATTGCCCCTGTCCTCGTCACCGACCTCGAATTCCTTACAGGAGCGCGGGCGTTTCCCGATCTGGCGGAAGTTATCAGTGCCGGCTGTTTAATTGATTGTTGAACCCTTCTAGAAATTATTAAAGGTGCTTTGACGATGTCTTTGGATGACTTTTCCATGACTGTCGCCTTCTTCATTTCATCTCCGAAGGAAACATCGAATAAGAAATCGTCCATTGGAATGGCTTCGGCTGTTTTGGTCATCAGATTTAGAACAGGCAGCAGGTGTAATCTGCGACCTTCTGATTAATGAGAGACGACAAAAAACCAGGATCTTTGTGCCATCGTTAACCTTTGCGACTCCCAGATTGAGAGATTCTCAGCTCTGAGATTCCTGTGTAGTCGGCCGGAGAAAATCTAAGATAATCTCGCCCAGTGCACATAATGCCATACCTTGGTTTGTGGCGGCATACTCATCTCTCTTGGTCACGAAGTTGCCTTTTAAAGCTACCTTACACTCCTGGTTCAGCACAAGAGCCCTCAGGAATGCCAACGCCTCCGGAGGAGAATACATCTTTAGTAATGGCTCACGTTAGTCTACTGAATTGTGCTGAATTATGCTATTCAAAATCAATTCAACACAACTCGCAGAATTCGAGTTATATCATTCGCAAGTTTTTCACGAGTTCGAAGTTTTTCATTCCTAAATATTAGTAAAGCTAACAAATTTTTTTTTATTTGGAAAACGCTTCATATTATTGAGCTGCGATTTGCGGCACAATTTGGCACAAACGTAGCACAACATAATGCAATTAAGAAAATTACAAAATTCGAAAAGTGCAGAGCAACTTTACACATTTAAACCTCGCTTCGCGAGTAGAAAGTTGTGCGCCCTTATACGCTACTATATAAAAACAAAAATTATATGAGAAAATAATATTTTCAAAAAAAATTTTTAAAGCAGGAAATCTATTTTAAGGAAGTTCTTGCATTTGATGAAATATAAGTCTATAATATACATGTAATACAAATGTTAATAATACCAATAATATCTAGAAAAAAGTTCATTGACTTTCACTGTACCATTTTGAAAATATTTAATTCTACATTCATAAAATTTTATATTGAAGGTATAACCTTATTTTGTAGTTTTTCTTTTAAATTGAGGCACTTGCGTATAAGACATTTAAAAATTTTTATAATTATAAAATAAACACTTAAGTTTGTTCTCGTAAAATTTCATTTAAACTGACCAAACAGTTTACAAAAAATTTATATTCTTCAATGAAAAAAACTAGAATATATGTCTAACAAACGATGCATATACATCAAATGAGAATCTTACAACTTTTATTTTGTCATTTTAAAAATATTTAGTAACATAAAATTTTAATAATAATAATATGTATAAGTATGTATAATATAATGGCATAAGATACTAGATATTAGTAATATTTTTATTTCATTATTTTAATTGTTTTACATATTATTGATTAAACTGTCTATTGACTAGAAAGTAACGCGAAAATCTCCTTAAAGACTCTTTATTATACATACATAGTGGAAAAGAGACATAATTAATTTTTAAATTTTTCTTCTTAATAACTTTTTAATGAGCAATAGCTAAAATCTGTTGGAGATCAGAGTCATAACCTTGATAACATGTGCCAAGTTCAAGGTAACTGGGAGATCCTCTAATGTAAACATTTACCTAATTATTTTATAAACAGTATTCTGAAAATACATCAAAAAGCAATGTTTACAATATTGCTCCTTATAAACATGCTTCATAATTCTCACGCAAGTTTGCACATAGTTAATCTGCAGACAATACATATAAATGTACATACAAGTGGAAAGTTATGCTTATAATGTCATGCAAAAACTGTCATTGTGTAATATAACGTTTATACACACAACAATTGTATTAACAATTACCTACTTTCAAATTGACAGGAAAAAACTAAGAATGCATCGGATATCCGGAAAATATCCAGCATCTATATTATCTGGCACTTTTTTACTCCGACCGGATAGCCGGATATCATTAGTGGATACTCATTAGTGGATTATCTGGAATACATTATATCCGATTTGAAATTTAAATCATTAAATTATTGATTTTTTTCTTATACAATGTTCTAGA